ATTTATTTCATGGTATTGTAACAAGCAAACGTTGAATACATTTTTCATTCGTGTAAGAAGAATTATTTAACACGATAAATTTAGCTGTACTATGGTTATTTTTAATCTACGACCACAGGTCAACCTGATTTTTAATCCCTACGAAATTAATTTAACCACGAGTAAGTAACGAGAACGCTAAAACCTATGTTTCCATTGAAGAATATTGTAAAAACGTATAAATTGTTATATGCAATGTTATAACAAATTGTCGGAAGTATAAATTTTTAATAAAATTGTGAAAATTGATAAATTATACCGTGTTACGATATCGGAAATCTCCCGCGAAAATCTCCCGCGAAAATTTCCCGCCTGACCTAACCGACGATTTTGCTAATGACTTTGGGGAGAGGGTACCGCAGGTATATAAGGACCCGCCGATGTCCCGCGAAATCATTTACCCTTTATACTGGGCCCTAGACACTTCGCGGCGTATTTTGACCTGAAGGTTCTGAGATGTGAATAGAGTGGTCGGGGGCTACTAGCTAGTCTATGTCCACCCTGTACACACTCAGCCTTCTTGTAACACTTGTATACATTAGAATCAATTAGAATTTCTATTACTAATTATTAAACAAATTTTAACAATTACCGGCACTCGCTAGGCACGTAATATCAGACTTTAAATACTCGACTTCGAACTTCGGTTTAGTCATAATTCTATTAATGTTATAATAACGTATAATTTATTAATTTTCACAATTTTATTATTAATTTATACTTCCAAAAATTTGTTAAAACATTACATATTATTATTTATACATTTTTGCAAGTTTCTTTGACAAATAAGTACGTTTCAACGATCTTATTACTTTCTCGTTGTGAAATCAAGTTCGGAGGATTAAAAATCAGGTTGACCCTTGGTCGTAAATTTAAAATAGCCATAGTGAAGGTGAAATTATTATTTTAAATAAATGTTTCTATACGAATTAAGAATCTATTCAACGTTTGTTTGTTGCAATACCGTGAAATAAATTGTATTATATATTTTCTCAGTTTAGACTGAATTTAAAGTTCGTAAGGATTAGAAATCAGGTTGACCTGTGGTCGTAGATTAAAAATAGCCATAGTGAAGGTAAAATTATTACGTTAAATAATTGTTTTTATACGAATTAAATATTGATTCAACGTTTATTTGTTGCAATACCGTGAAATAAATTGTATTATATATTTTTTCTGTTTACACTAAATTTAAAGTTCTGTTTACATGTTATAACAATTAGAATGTAGACGTTTTGCCGTTTCACGGTTTTTCCTCTGTTAATTATGTGTTTATAAATCATTTCAAACTAAAGCAGCACCATGCCCACCCTTAATTAAACCGTCTCAGTAGTTTACCGTAATTAATAATCTATTTTCGGAATTTATACGAGAATTTTTGAATTTTAGTAAATACTAGAGTCAGTGTCCACCCTGTACACACTCAGCCTTCTTGTAACACTTGTATACATTAGAATCAATTAGAATTTCAATACAATAGACTGAATAACAATTCATTTTAACTAATACCTATTAGAAATTTTCCTTTTAAAACAAATATAAATCATTTTACCAATTACTGGTACTTGCTAGACATTTAATATCAGACTTTAAATATTCTGCTTTCGGTTCTTTTAAATACAATCATGTAATTTCTTCAATTATCGATACTGACTTGGAATACTCCGCTTCGAATAAAATATTTCGAAATTATTTTGAAGGTTTAGGGAAATAAACATTTGAATTTTAGTCATCGTTGTTCTTCAGACTTGTCGGATAGGATATTGAAATGACTTTGAGAGGTTGCTCTTTCGTTACAGCAATTGAAATTAATTTGAAATTTTTCTTCCACTAATTAAAATTAATTTATTATTTTATGACTTGCTATTTTGTTTACTAATAATTTACCATCCAAGGAATTTGCATGAATTGCATGTTAAGTAGTTAGTTGATTTATTATTGTATATTGTGAGCTGATTTGGAACGAGTGCACTATGCCCACCCTAAATTAAACCGTCTCAGTAGTTTACCGTAATTAATAATCTATTTTCGGAATTTATACGAGAATTTTTGAATTTTAGTAAACACTAGAGTCAGTGCATCGCGTATTGAAATAATAGCTTCATCCCTAGTTCGTTTATTATTGAATACTTTTACGCGTTTAACTTATGCTTCTCCCCAATTCTCGTCGCGTATTTTATTCAAATTTTCTTATATTCTAGAATCGAAAAAGATACGAATTCGCGTTTTTTCTTTTGATTCTTTCAATTTTTCAATTGCATTACGCATTATTGCAATAATTTCTATCGTTACATTTAATTCTAATTGTTTAGCAGCTTTTCTGCTGCTATCGACCCTACATTTTACTGACACTTGTCGAACCGACCCTACATTTTACTGACACTTGTCGAACCGACCCTACATTTTACTGACACTTGTCGAATCGACCCTACATTTTTTTTTTTTACGTGGAGGTAGGCCGACTCTATGTGATAAACAATTGGCAACCAAACGGTGGCTCTCCCTTTACATTCGACGGATAATGTGTACAGTTATTTAATGTAATTTCTTAGCAATTTGTTTTTGTAATTCATCCAAAGCGATATATTATGTAATTAATCACTCAATAAGTATTAACATTAGATTGTTTCCTCGATATGGCTATGGTGGTCATCAGTGCCTGGAGTGCCTCAAATGTTTAAAATATTTAAAATAAAGTAAATGTTGTCAACTAAAAATTTTGAACGTCATAGCTAGCTAGACATTATTTTCAATTGAAAAAAAAAAAATTATAAAGCATAATACTATAACCCTATGCTTAAAATGTATTTTCTTGTGACTGCCTGACAGCAACCTGTAAATCTGGCGTGACAGTGAACGTGTTAATAAGTAAATGTTGTTCAAATTATATCGTGTTTTATGTCATTTTCATCAGAAAAATCTCACCAACATGATGTTAAATAAAAATAAAAAAACGTAAAATTAAAAAAGTTGATATTTAAATCGCTTGGTTGCCTGGACTCACGTTTTATGCTTATCTTTTATTCGCTGTCCTTTGCTACATTTGGCAAACTACAAAGGCCGGCGCGATGTTCGAAAACGTAGTCCCTGACTCTACGAGTATCAGGTTTAGGTTCCTTGCGGTCTGACACTTGTGGAGAATATACTGTATTCTGTGAAGGAAATGTTTTCGAAATTTTGTTTTCCTCTCTATTCATGTAAATTTCTTCCGAATCCTGCTTGGATTTATAACGTTTCTTTGTTTGAATATTTTTATACCTGAAAATTTATTAGCTAAAATGGATAATTTTCTTTGAGAAAGTATTATCTTTATGGGTTTTTATTTACCATGAATTTTCAATTTTTGCTACCATTGAGTGATATTTATCAACGTTGAATATTTTCAAACATTTACGTGTGTTCGTGTAAAAACAAATTACTTCCAAAAATTCGTAAATTGTTTAAAACTGAAAATTGAGACATTTATTATTGAAACAGTTTTCGTGTAAAAAAGATTGATCGGTACCGAAAATTTAAAACTTCGTTATTTAAACGATTGCGTATTTAAATCCAATGTAACGTCACTTTCCTACTACGCTGTATTTCTCTTTTGACCTACTCTAACTTATTCTTAGTATACCATTAAATAATGCACATTCTTTTGCATATAATAATAATTTCCATTGAAGAAGCTTAAACCTAACCAGAATTATTTTTCCCTCGCCATTCCCATTTGGCATTATTCTGGAAACCTTTATCCCTAGGATAATCGTACTTTAGCCAGATATTTTACTAGCAATTTTTCGAAAGCACGACGACAAAGAAATTTCCAACATGCACTCAATTCCTTGGTGTTTTTTATCGTTGCAGGTGGTAAGAGCTGCGAGTCCAGTGCTGCTGCGCGTCATTGTGCTCGGTGCATTTTTCATATATTGCACGGTAAGTACCATACTCTAGCTAGCAATTCAACCGAGACTTTATTACACGCTCCTTTCCCGGGACTTTATCCACTTTTCCGCGAACATAACCTCTCGTAACAAAAATCTCTCTTACTCTACAACATGCAAAAAAGTATCGTTCATTCCGTACGAATAAACATGAACACATTAAACAGGATACAGAGAACAGTTAGAAATTTATTTATCCCGGTACGCGAATCGAGGAACAGTTTTGTCCGCTTCTCCTCTTTGTGAATCAAATGTACGAGGATCGTTCGATGAATAAAGAGACAAACTGTTTCAATACGGTTTATTCAATTAATCTCCTAATTTACCTATTTTTCGACATAATCCCCTGCTACAATTGTGTATCATAGTTTTTTCTTTTTTAACTAGAGCTTTTTATCTTCTTAGTAATTAAATGACCCTCGTATTACATTTTAATCCATCGTGGATACTGATTACTTATACAGGGTGGCGTATAAGTCGCTTTGCCATTTAAAATTTGGATGAACTTTCCTCAAAATCTGCAGGAAAAATTTTGGAATAGATAAGAGATTTGAGAACATGTATATTTTTTTTGAGAACAACCATATACTAAATATTACTTATACAGGGTGACCCATAAGTCGCTTTGCCATTTAAAATTTGCATGAACTTTCCTCAAAATCTGAAAGAAAAATTTGAAAAGAGACAAGAGATATGAAAGCGTGAATATTTTTTTTAGAACAACCGTATGCTAAAATTTCACGAAAGTTGGTAATTATCACTTCGATATGGTTAGGCCATTTGCATAGTCACCGATACAATTGGCCACTTCATATTGGCTGTCTTTATCGGGCAATCGAATGCTGCCCATTGTTCGACCAGTGGAAATGAGAATGTAAAGGCGATACTTAGCTGGCTAAACGAGCATAAGCTAATCGCGCAACGTGGTGGTGTGGGGTGTCACGCGATTCCCGCCATTGCTATGAAAATTATTCGACTGATACGGAACGATTATCGTCACGCGAGGCACCGTGAAACGAGAAAAAGGAAATTCCGACGTGAGAACGCGAAGAATAATGCTCATGCTCGTAGCGAAACTCGAAACTTCAAATTACACGATTAAATTGTTGCGCGTGGAATTTTAACTGCTGCGATCTCGTATTTCTTTCTGTTGCTGGTAAAAACGAGGAGTTTACTTTATTGCTATTTTAGTTGCTATCGCGTTGCATCGTTTTCTGTTTTATTTTTAAGTATGCTGTAGATATTCTAGGGATATTTTGGAAACGTTTTTAGGGACACTGTGGAATATTCTAGGGATATATTAATTTTATCGGAAAATCGAGAGACGCTCTAGAATATTCTCAGACATTTTATGCTGATCTATAAATATTCTAGGGTATTCCTAACCTCTCAGAGACATTGCTGACCGTTATAGGACATCTTAGAATATTTCAAGGAATATTAGAAATAATGTTCAAACAACCTGGGAATATTGTACAATATTCTACGATACTCTAAACATTCTAGGATTATTCTGGAATATTTCACAACGCTAAAATTCTTTCTGTCGCGGCAAATTATTCCAGCAACTCTAGGGATTCAGAAGAGTCATTGCAGGGACAGTCTAGGGACATTTCACGTCACACGCGTTTCTACAGTACTACTGTGCAATGTGCACTGCAGAAATTAAAGTACGAGTGAATAAATTTCCCAGCCGGAACAGTCTCTGAAGCCTTCCGGATTTTACGTCCAAAACATTTTCGTGGAAAAAGAATAGTACGCGCGAAGAAATGGCATAAAAAAGACAGGAAAATGGGGGGAAAGACTGCTGTCCAACTGGGCTGAAAAACACGCGTGGCTGAATATTTCGTTTCTCGAGAAAAAGAGATACGCGAAGTTTACAATAATGTTGCGAGAATGATTAATTTAAAAATTTCATTTCGAAAATTAAACAGACGCGAGGCCGTTGCTTTCAAAGTAGTTCCCTTGAGACTGTGCACACGTATCGATCGTAACATTTCCGGTACTCGCCGTTTGTTATCTGTTTCAATCGAGAAAAAGGAAAACAGTAGTGAAAACAAAAAATTTGCAATTTTATCACAACCCTTTGCTCTGAATTGCGTTTCACAAAAGAAAAAATTGACAATGTTCGCATTGCTGCCACTTGGACGAAAAAAATAATGATTCTCGAAACTTGATTGTCACGGTTCTTAATAATAAAACAACCAAAGCGAGACACGCTCGTTAAACTTCATTGGTAATTGATCGATCGATATCTCGAACGGATCCCTCTACCGCGGCTGATTTCCCGTTATCAACGTACGAGATAATAGAAACGAAAATGGATATCGTACAAGCGTAGCGAACGGGATCGTTTTCATTGAAATTTCAGCACGACGCATCGTTTCCTCTAATTCGGTTTTCTGATCACGAAACGAACGACGGTGGATCTCGATAGAACCAACGCAACTTGGAATTAATGATGGGGAATTTCCGCACCACCGCAGTCCGTTGCTTTGAAACAATGTAATTCGTGCTTTCGACCGTATGAAAGCGCCAGTTTATATACGTACATTCTGCATCATTTCCGCAAGAAATAAGTCGTATTCGATACTATTTTCGATATTTTATTACCGTTCCTCGGAGCTGGGAAATAGCCCCTAGTAATTTCCCAGTGATTTTTCAAATAAATGCAACTACAATGTTTCATGTGCCAGCGGTGACTATTATGTGCAGTGTGGCGCATGATACGAAGAAAATGGAAAATGTGAGTATTGGAAACGGGTTATGAAAAAGAAATAGTCGTTTAATCTTGTGATGTGCTATTTATGGACGGACTCAGGGGAAACGTCTTTACGCTATTGAATCTTCTAAAGGACTGTTTCTGGGCAACCAAGAAGAAAGTTGGGGTCCCCTTATACCTAGGAACTGTTTACTTTATGATATCGCATTGTACAGTGCGTGACTCGAAGACGGACACTTCTTAGTGCCTTTGTTTAAAATAACGCGGAGACATTTTTCTCCTCGCTTGATTATTTCCATAGGGTGTTGTTAGAAATAATCCAACGGTGAGAAATTTCATTTCCCACGAAGAAGAATAACCAGTGAAAACTAAATACTGGCAAACATTTGACGTAGCCTCGGTGAATATTCGCAATTGGCAATAATCGAATTTTCACACACTCCGAACACAATGAGAATAATATTCGTGATAAAAGAAAAATCAATTTTCCTGCGAAAATGTACAACCTCTCGAGTTCCACGTCGCGTAGATCAAAATTCAGGAAAAGTTCACCCATAAAGGAAATGGAGTGTGTCACGGTGAAAGGAAAATTGCCGGAGGGAGGATGAATTATGGGAAATCGGTGGTGAAAATCAGTTCGTTTTGTTTCAGACGATAGTAATGTATCCCCGTCCGAACGTCATAACCTGCACGGTGCGAGTTTGGCTACGAGAGATTGGATTTTCCCTCACCTACGGCGCCCTGATGCTGAAAACTTGGCGGTGAGTAAGAATAACGTTGCAGGCAATGTTGTTTAACTTCGTCCGCGAAATCGATGTTTGCTCTGCAAATGAAAATCTTGTTCACGCGAGAATTCGACGCCTCGCACTGGATGTTATCGCGTAACAAAGTTCACTATGAACTTATACATTCGCCAGGAGCGCTCCAACTGGGATTACAGAAAATTAAACTATTACTATTCAATTATACAGGGTGTTTCCGAAAATGTGGGCATAACTTCGGGGACAGATTCAGTACGTTGAAATAAGAAGAAAAGTTCATATGAACATGTGCCCGATACGATCTTGTTTCCGAATTATAGCCGTTTTTGTCTTCCAGTAATTCTTATGACTCTGTTGACTGCTTCTTTTAATTATTTACAAGTAACGCTTCTTATCTCATGCGCGGCTTTCTGGTCTGCTATGTAAGCACTATTTCGTAATTTGTTTCGATCAGTTTAATCATGTTCTTGGTGGTAACCTGGTGGTATGGCAATTTGTTAATACACTTCATGATAATTTGGAGTGATCATCTAATACATTTTATAACAATTTGAACGAGAATTTACATTGATACGACGTTCGGTCTAGCTATTTAAAGCTA